TGAAAGATTAGTTCACAGTGAAAGATTAGTTTGCAGAGTAATTAGATCGTAGTGAAAGATTAGTTCACAGTGAAAGATTAGTTTGCAGAGAGTGATTTGTTTGCAGTGAGTGATTAGTTCGCAGAGTGTGATTAGTTTGCAGTGAGTGATTTGTGAGTGATTCGTGAGTTCAATATGAATAAATATTTAATATGACTCCGTAGTCATGAGTCACGAATCTTTCATATGACTCGGGAGTCACGACTCATGTGAAAGATTCGTTCATTTTGAACTCGCGAACGACACATCACTACTGTCAATCGTTATTTACATAAAGTTCCAAAGAGTACGGAGGCGTCCGACTGGTCTATCGCAGGGGCATTACAATATAATTAATATTTCATTGTTCATATGGGCGTTGGACTCCTTGAGGACACCATTTTCGGCACATATATGTGTTTATATATTATTTTCAGGTTTTATTGTAAGGCTAGGTTTGAAATTCCGATTTGAACTTCATGCTACATCAAAAGTGACAACGTTTAGTACATTTACAAAATAAAATCAAACAACAATATTTCATATAATGCATTTACTATTAATACTCAATCAATACTATTCAATAAATATTTTATTTGTCCCCGGAGGCCAATTAAAATATATAGGGTTTGTGTTTTTGTTTTTTAAGATAATTTACACAGCGCAGTGACGCTACTGTGACAGTTAGTGTGAGAATAAATGTCCATAAGATGTCACTATTTGCAAAGAACATAGGCCGATGTGGTCCAAAGTGTACTGCTCAGTAGAGTTCTTTATTTTTGTTTTTCACGCCAAAGTTGCAATGATATCGATCAAACTAAATGATCCTAGCTGATATTAGGTCAATGCGTGTTTAAGGTCAAATAGATCTCTGCAAATTGTCCTACCAAAGTGGTAGGACAATGGAGCAGCAAAGCGACATGTGAATCATTCACACATACATAGAAATAAAGGGAAAGACTGAATTCCTCATTCAGTACTTGATCATTGTAAAGACATAATCTCCTGGGTCAGCTGTGTGCTCTGGTTTCTGTGTGGCCTTGTCTTGCAAAGCCTCATGAGCTCTCCTTTATATATCTTAAACAAGGGTGAAAAAAGAGCTCTCATTATTTTAGTGGCTGCGCATGAATGGACCGCAGTGTTCATTCTTCTTAAATGGCTGATTCAGTGTCAGGTTGAGGATCCTGTCGTCAATGTGACACTGGGAAGGGGTCATTTTTCTTTGGAAAGCTGAAGATTCCTTCAGATAATATCTTATTGTTTGCTCATCTCTGTGCTCTCAATGACCTGCCTGTCCTCAGGGCCTGTCTGTAATCAGATTCAGCCAGCAGCCACAGCAGAAGCAGCAGAGGTAGGAGTTTGGGCTCTGAGTTTGTCTACTTGGAGAGTCCTTTTATCAGCGGTTTTCAGATGCACTTTGTTGGCTCCAAGCTTCGGCTCCCAAAAAAGGCTCAGGTTTCAGTGTAGTTTCCACTGATATCACGTGCTTAAGTGGGACCCTGTAAATGTTCACCTCAATTAGCAAGACACATCTTTTGTTTTTATGACACAATGTATACCTGACGTATAGAGGGAATTTCCCCCCCACCTCTATACAGAATTTGAGTTTTTAGTTACAGAACTGCTGCCCTAAGTTAAAACTAATGTATGAGCCGAGGTGTGAATGTGTCAGAGCTGCGATGATATGGGTGGGGGTTGGAGCTGGAGACTCACAAGGAACATAGCCCATAGTGCTGTTATTTGAAACCATGCACTCAGAAGACAGCAATCTGTCTTTTGGTCACATGAATCATCTTCAGTTAGAAGTTCCATTGTAAGGCCGTAAAGCAAATCACTTACTGTGGCAATTATGCTTGAGCTATGTACAGGCCGAAGTATATTCCACACAGTGGCACTTTTCCCACTGAGCCAAGACAAAGCACATCCATAGTCAGTGTCATTTTGGAAAAATCAACTTAAATGGGACAAGGACTCCCAGTCCACAGAGGTGTGTCCCACCTTGGGTCAGTGTCTGAGCTTCTCTGAAGGAACAAAGATCAACTGTTTCGACATACTAAGAAATATTTGTTCGCTCTTTGTATCAATTGCCTTTATTGGATTATACACTGTGTGCAAGGAGTGTTCAAGTTTGCAATGAAGTCAGCACTCTGCACAATCAAATAATTCTTGAGCTAAGCAACTGGAAAAGGGTCATTATTTGCAGCGCAATAAGGCTCATTTCCTCAACTATGATTTAATTTTGCTTGTCATTGTTAAGGTGGCCTTTGGCCTAGTAGAATCCCTGGATCATCCTTTAAATCTTCCTGGTGCTTTTGTAGGGATCAGTATCAGAGAGTTTTGTTCAGAATAAAATGACAAAGCTCACAGTACACATACTTTTCTTGTTGCCTTCCCTTAATCAAATTTAAGTCTGGAACAACGCTGTTTTTATTTTAAGCTGATTTCATGATTTTACATCATGAAATCATCAAAACATGTACAGCTTTGAAAATGTGCTAGGTAAATAAAATAATATACTGCTTCATTTGGATTGCAGATTAGGTCACAGTCAGAAAATCTAACTTTTCATTTTTAAGTATTTTCAAATTAAAATTTTACTTTATTATTTTGTTTTTGACTTTCAAAAAAAAAAGATGAAATGCCTGTAGATTTGGAGATATTGGGAATAACTTAAATTTTTGCCATTACAATTCCAGGTAATTTACCATGATTTAGGATTATGTTATGTATTCAATGGCAATTTATCATATTTGTAAAGATTTTAATGTAATTTTACATTAAATGTGAGGTATTAATTTATAGATTGCTGTCCATGATAACGAAGACATTCAAAGTGTTTTCCTTAAAATTGCGGGTAATTAATCATGTGTTTAAAGTGTTTTTTTAAAGGGCAATTAATGGTATAAATAAAACATACATGCATCATACATATAAGTAATTCACTAAAAACTACTGTAAAACATTTTTTATAGGAAGTACTAGATTATTTTCTAAGATTTTTTTGTGAAGTGGTGTTATTTTCATTACCATTACTGGTAAAAATCAGATTTGATAAGATATATCAGTTTCCTTTTTGGTTTATAAATCTGGACTTATGGTGTCTTGTAAGGCCATGGGGACTGGGCATATCAATATGCAGGACACCATAATGAACATGTAATTCCTTCATTCATTCCATCTATCTGACATCAGTGATGTCATCTTAGCAGGTCTGCTATCAAGCCTGTGGCTAAAACAATCTGGACTGCCTGTGATATCTAATGTAATGCTAACAGAGAGAAGCTGTTCTAACTTATGTCACTCCAAAAGACACACCATCTGCAACAGCAGAAAAGGAAAAATCAGACAGGCTCCATATTTATAA